ATCGTCAAGGAATGTGACCAGGTAACGTTTGCCAGTCAAGGACCGCTCGGGGAAGGAAAGCACATCGCTGTGTACAAGGCCGAGTCTCTCTGTATTCGATCAACTCTACTACGTCAGCGATGTAGTTATAGCCAAGAGTGATCAATGCATTTCAACATACCTATTCGATCAACTCTACTACGTCAGCGATGTAGTTATAGCCAAGAGTGATGAATAGGAAGCTAACAATAAGAGACCCGCGCGCCCCAAGTCCACAGCCAGCGAGCCTGGGGCTGAGCCAATGGCCCAGGCTCGCTCCGCGCGCCTAAGTCCCAGGCTCGCTTCGCGCGCCTAAGTCCTGGGCCGGGGCGCCCGGCTCACTCCGCGCGCCTAAGTCCGCGCCCGGTTCGCTCCGCGCGCCTAAGTCCTGAGCCGAGCGGAGAGTGGATTCCTCACACCCCCCCCCACGCGAACGCGAGGTAGACTTGAGCCGTGGATGTCGCGTCCGGAGGCCTAGAGCATAGCAATGTGTACCAAAAATCTTGGGGCCTAGCGCCTTGGTGAATACGTCCGCAACCATGTCTGCTGTGCCAACGTGTGAGAGAGAGATATCACCTCGATTGACCATGTCACGGACAAAATGCTCGCGGAGGCGAATGTGCCGGGTGCCGGAGGTGCGAACGGGGTCGTGAGCGACGGCGGCCGCGGCCTCGTTGTCGGTGAAGATGTGAGCTGCAGCGATTGGGCAAACGTGGAGCTCGGAGAGGAGTTGGTTAAGGTAGATCGCTTCCTTACCCGCGTGCGACAAGGCCAGGTACTCGGCATCAGTGGTGGAATCCGCTACCCGAGTCTGACGCTTCGACGACCAAGAGACAGCGGCGCCTGCCAAGTAAAATACGTAGCCCATCGTTGAAATGGATGTGTCGACGCAGGCGCCCCAGTTCGCATCAGAATAACCAACCACACCCGTGACTTTTGCTGGGCCGCGGGCATAGAGAAGCTCATCGCGGTACGTGGCGCGAAGGTAGCGAAGGACGTGTTTGACGGCAATCCAATGGCGGCGGCCGGGTTGTTGGCGAACCGGGACAGGTACGAGACGGCGAAGGCAATGTCGGGTCGAGTGCCAAGGGAGATGTAGAGGAGGGAGCCGATGGCCTGTAGGTACCACGAACGAATGCGCTCCGTTCCTGACCCGGAATTGCCGTGAGCGAGAGGCCGGGCGTCATCGGCACCGTAGTGCCGCGTGTCGTGGTGTCGAAGTGGAAACGGGCCAGCACGTCCATGATGTAGCGCTCCTGGGATAGAGCAATGGAACCGTCGTCCAGGCGGCGTATTTGGATTCCGAGGATTACTCCGCGGGGCCGAGTCGTTTGACGCCGTACCGCTGTTCAAGGCCGGAGATGACACGTTCGATCTCGTCGAGGGCTGGACTGACAATGAGGAGGTCGTCGACATACAAGGCGATATAGTGAGGCCGCTGCTGATCGTCAATGCGAGAGTAAATGCAGTGATCAGTGCCTGTTGCCTTGTACCCCAGATTCCTGAGTGATGTGTCAATGTGACGATTCCAGATGCGACCGGCCTGCTTGAGACCGTAGATTGAGCGTCGCAGCCGGAGAACCTTATCGCTCGGGAAGTCGAAACCGCGTGGTGTCGTCATCCAGATATCATGATCGAGCTCGCCGTGGAGGTAAGCCTTGTCGATGTCGGCCTGATGAACGTGGTAGCCATTGGCAGCGGCAAGAGCCAGGAGGCAGCGAATGGAGGAGAAACGGGCGACGGGTGCGAAGGTTTCTGAGAAGTCGATGCCGTCGCGCTGTCGGTTACCCTGCGCTACAAGACGTGCCTTCCGCCCCGTGACTTCACCGCTTGCGTTGCGCTTGGTCTTCCAGACGAATTTGGAGGTGACGATGGTGGCGCCCGGCGGTACAGATGAGCGAGGCTCGATGGTGAACACCTTGAAGTCGTCGCGCATGGCGGTGAACTCGGCGGCGGCGGCCTCAGCCCAGATGTTGTGCTCGTCGCTGGACATTGCTTCGCGCCAGGTCTGGGGGTCGCTAGTGATCGATTTGACGGGCTCGATGGCGTCGAGGGTGGGGTCGTCGTCGTCTGTGGCGATGAAGGCGCGGTGGTGTTGGGTGAGGAAATCGATTTCATCCGGCGATTCATCGCGTGAGTGACGCCCAATGATGTCGAGTTCGTCGGGCGACTCCTCAGCCGATGCGGGCTCACGGTACGTGCTGAAGTCTGGGCGGTGCACGTCCGGTGGGCCAAGGCGAGTCGGGGTCTGTGAGCCGATGAGGTCCAGAGGGTCGGCGGAGTAGTCAGAGTCGGTCGGTGAGACCGAGGGTGACGATGACGCTGCCAACGACGGTGACAGCGCAGGCGACGGTGACAAAGGGTTTGTGGGCGACGGTGACGAGGACGGCTCAGGAGACGGTGACGAGGACGATTCGGTATCTGTGGAATTAAGTAAGGTTCCGCCAGTGTACCCTGGGGCCACGTCAACGGCGCTCATGGCAGAATCATCAAGGGAGGATGAGACGTCCATGTGCGCCGACCTTACTAGTGGGGTCCTCGTCTTGACGGCAGGGGCGGGCGTGTCGGCGGGAACGACGAACTGACGGTCGGTGTCGTCTGCATCGACGGGCGTGGTGACTGGCAGGCCGGGGAAGTCGTCGTCGAGGAAGGTGGCATTGCGACCAAGTACAATCTTGTTGATGGAATGGTCAAAGAAACGGAAAGCTTTGGAGGCGAGGTCGTAACCTGTGAAGATCACGCGCGCGGCCTTGGGGTCGAGCTTGCTGCGAAGGTCCGGGGCGACCGTGAGCCAGGCTGTGCAGCCGAACGGGTGGAGGGCGGTGGCGGTGGTGCGTTGGCCGTTCCAAACGGATTCTGGAGTCTGTTTGGCCAAAGCTGAGTGTGAGCACCTGTTTTTGCAATAAACGAAATACGCAGCCGCTTCATCCCAAAAGGTGGCCGGCAGACGGGCGTCCGCAAGGAGAGCGAGGACGCCCTCGACGATGAGAGGTTGACACGTTCGGCGCGACCGTTTTGTTGAGGCGTGTAAGGGATAGAGTATTGACGACGAATGCCCTTGGATTTGCAGAACTCCGTGAATGCGTTTGATCGGTACTCCCCGCCATTGTCGGTTCGAAGGATCCTCAACCGCGCGTTCGTCTCTAACTCCACTTCGGCGAGCCAAGTCTGGAAGGTCGGGAAAACATCGCTTTTGTGATCGATCGCATATGCCCAGAGTTTGCGAGAGTGGTCGTCTAGAAACGTGACAAGGTAGCGCTTCCCGGTCAAGGACGGAGTGGGGAACGACAGGACGTCGCTGTGCACGAGGCCAAGTCTCTCGGCGGAATGCGACTCAGAGTCGGGAAAGGGAAGGCGGTGACCTTTGGAACCAAGGCAAGCATTGCAAACAAACTCCTCTACGTCTTTGTCACTGTACCCGGCCCCAAACCCGTCCAGCAAACCTGCAGCAATCATCTTCTGTATAGAGGATGGGGCAAGATGGCCGAGGCAGCGGTGTAGGGTAAGCAGGGGCACGGGAGACTCAGAGCGTGAGAGGAAGGCAAGATGCTGACACTTGGTGTGATCCGCGTCCAAAAGGTAAAGACCGTCGTTGACCCTGGTACCGTGAGCAATGGCCCGGCCGTCCTTGGCGATGTCGATGCCGTCGCTGGTGAAGGCGAGACGAACGCGGTCGGTGTCGCAGAGGCGAGAGACAGAGAGGAGGTTGACGTGTAGGCCAGCGTGTGAAGAACACCACGGAGCGTGATCGGGTGTCCAGTCTTGGCGACGAATGCCACGTCCCCATGCCGATAGCCGTGATGCCGCCCGCGATGCCGCCGATCTTGGTGTGTGCCGTCTGACGATAAGTCGTGAATAGAGATCGGTCGGCGACCATGTGTGTCGTGGCACCCGAATCGACTACAAAGACGTAGTAGAGTTGATCGAATAGGTTATAAGCCCACGAGCTACCAGCCCCGCCGCTTGAGGCTTTTTCGCTCGAGCCCAGCCACTCGAGCCGCACACGTCCATCGCACCATCACATCATGGACAGCTCTCCCGCCTCGCCTTTGGCCCCCAGGGATCCCAGCTCCCCTGAATCTTCGATCGGCGAACAAATCGCCACTCTACAGGCCCAGCTTGCCGCTCTGCAGGCCTCGCAACCCGCCGCCGCCGCAGCCGCCGCACCCCCGGCCGTCACCATCGTGCCGGGAACGCCGCCACCGCATCCAAGGTCGTGTTTCCCAAGCACGCTCGTCTGGACGGCCCCAAGTCGTTCACCAACTGGTTGCGTCAACTCCGTCTTGCACTCCCGAACCAGGTTCGTGGTTACGTTCTCGACGGTGTCGTTCCCCCGACCTGGACCGCCGACCAGCTTGCCGCACGTGACGACGCCGCCCGGGAAATCATCGTTGGCTCTATCGACTCCGCCGACGTATCGGCCACCCTCGACGCCATCCCCAGCGACGACCTGTCGGCACCGCGCATCTTTGCCGCTCTCAAGGCTCGTTTTGCACCGGACGACGCTACACGCACTCTCGAGTTGTTCGCTCGCCTTTGGGACTTCAGGAAGATGCCTGCTCCGTCGAGGCCTACGACACTTGGCTACGCGAGTACATGTCGATTGCTCAGGAAATACGCGACGCCAAAACATCGCTCAACGACGTGCTCGCCACCCCACGTGCTCGCCATGGTCCCGTCTTGCCTCGACAGCTTCCGACTCACGTTCACGGACGAGCAGCTGGTAGCTCGTTGGGCTCATAACCTATTCGATCAACTCTACTACGTCAGCGATGTAGTTATAGCCAGAGTGATCAATGCATTTCAACATACCTATTCGATCAACTCTACTACGTCAGCGATGTAGTTATAGCCAAGAGTGATGAATAGGAAGCTAACAATAAGAGACCCGCGCGCCCCAAGTCCACAGCCAGCGAGCCTGGGGCTGAGCCAATGGCCCAGGCTCGCTCCGCGCGCCTAAGTCCCAGGCTCGCTTCGCGCGCCTAAGTCCTGGGCCGGGCGCCCGGCTCACTCCGCGCGCCTAAGTCCGCGCCCGGTTCGCTCCGCGCGCCTAAGTCCTGAGCCGAGCGGAGAGTGGATTCCTCACACTCTGAGGAGTGCGAATCCGAATCGGGAAAGGGAAGACGATGGCCCTTTGCGCTGAGGCAAGCATTGCAGACAAACTTCTCTACCTCTTCGTCACTATATCCGGCCCTGAGACCCTCCAGCAAACCAGCGGCAACCATCTTCTGTATGGAGGACGGTGCGAGATGGCCGAGGCAGCGATGGAGAGTCAGCAGGGGCACGGACGACTGTGAGCGAGAAAGGAGAGCAAGGTGCTGACATTTGGAATGATCAGCGTCCAGCAAGTAGAGCCCTTCGTCGAGTCGTGCGCCTTCAGCGATGTCGTTGCCGTCCTTGTCAATGTGGATGCCGTGTTTTGTGAAGGCGACACGGACATCGTCGGTGTCGCAAAGTCGAGAGACCGAGAGAAGATTGACAAACAGGCCCGGAGTGTGCAGCACGCCGGTAAGCGTGATCGGATGACCCGAGGCGGCAATGAAGGCGATGTTTCCCGTTCCGATGGCGTTGATGCCCCTGCATATGAGACGTTCACCACTACTGTCAGGAGAGGTTGAGAGTCGAACAGAAGTGATCTATTTCAGCGTACCTATGAGACGTTCACCACTACTGTCAGGAGAGGTTGAGAGTCGAACAGAAGTGATGAGAAGGAAGCTAAGAAACAGAAAGGGGGGGCCACGCTGGGATAGTCCCAGGCGCGTGACAATGTACATCCCTAAGTCAGCCGCGGGTGAAATCGCCGGCGCGCCTAAGTCCCACCGCAAGGGGGCGGGCTAGCGGGCGCGCGCATGAATCCGCCGGCGCTGGCGCGCTGAGGCAGTCGCGCGCGTCTAAGTCCCCACCGCCGGGGGCGGGCTAGCAAGTGCGCGCAACGACCGAGGCGCCCCTGTCGAGCTGAGAGTGGACTCTTCACACCCCCCCCCACGCGAATGCGAGGCAGACCCAAGCCGCGGGTGTCGAGTGCGAAGGCCGAGGGCGTAGCAGTGCGTTGAGAAGACCTTTGGGCCGAGAGCCTTGGTGAAGATGTCGGCCACCATGTCGCTGGTACCCACATGCGAGAGAGAGATGTCGCCCCGATTCACCATGTCCCGAACGAAGTGCTCACGCAAGCGTATGTGCCGAGTGCCAGAGACGCGGACAGGATCGTGAGCAACTGCAGCAGCGGCTTCGTTGTCAGTAAAGATGTGAGCCGGTGCAACAGGTTGTACATGGAGCTCTTCGAGCAGCTGACTGAGGTAAATCCCTTCCTTGCCAGCATGCGAGAGGGCGAGTATTCAGCGTCGGTGGTCGAATCGGCAACTCGAGACTGGCGTTTGGACGACCAGGACACGGCCGAGCCAGCGATGTAGAAGACGTAGCCCATGGTGGACACCGATGTGTCGATGCAGGCCCCCCAGTTCGCGTCGGAGTAGCCTACCACACCCGTGATGCGAGCCTGGCCGCGAGCATACACGAGTTCGTTGCGATACGTGGCCCGGAGATAGCGTAGGATGTGCTTGACCGCAATCCAATGACGACGACCGGGGTTGTTGGCGAAGCGGGCCAGGTAGGACACGGCGAAGGCGATGTCAGGGCGGGTACCGAGCGAAATGTAGAGGAGCGAGCCGATAGCCTGCAGATACCATGACCTGATCCGTTCGGTGCCTTGACCCGGGATAGCAGTGAGCGAAAGGCCGGGAGTCATCGGAACTGTAGTGCCGCGAGTCGTGGTGTCGAAGTGGAACCGAGCGAGCACGTCCATGATGTACCGTTCCTGGGATAGGGCGATAGAGCCGTCGTCGAACCGCCTGATCTGGATGCCGAGGATATACTCGGCCGGGCCGAGGCGCTTGACTCCGTAGCGTTGGTCCAGGCCTGAGATGACACGTTCGATTTCGGCCAGTTCCGGGCTGATCATCAGGAGGTCGTCGACGTACAGTGCGATGTAGTGTGGACATTGACGATCATCGAGCCAAGAGTATACGCAGTGGTCGGTGCCCGTCGCCGTGTAACCGAGGGCCCGAAGCGAAGCGTCGATGTGTCGATTCCAGATTCGGCCAGCCTGTTTGAGCCCGTAGATGGAGCGTCGCAGGCGAAGCACCTTGTCGCTGGGAAGTCGAAGCCGCGCGGTGCCGTCATCCAGATGTCGTGGTCAAGGTCGCCATGCAGATATGCTTTGTCGATGTCCGCCTGGTGCACGTGCAAGCCGTTGGCGGCCGCCAGCGCGAGGAGTGAGCGTATCGAGGAGAAGCGTGCGACCGGTGCGAACGTTTCGTTGAAGTCGATGCCGTCGCGTTGCCGATTGCCTTGCGCGACCAGCCTTGCCTTGTGTCCAGTGACTTCGCCGAGTGCGTTCCGTTTCGTTTTCCAGACGAACTTGGATGTAACGATAGTCGCACCCGCGGGCACCGTGGCTCGGTCCTCGATGGTGAAGACCTTGAAGTCGTCGCGCATGGAGGTGAACTCGTCGGTGGCGGCTTTGGCCCATACTTCACGCTTGTCGCTAGACATCGCCTCGCGCCAGGTCTGTGGGTCGCTCGTGATGGACTTGACTGGCTGAATTGCCTCTGTGTCAGAGGTGTCGTCGTCGATGGCGATGAAGGCGCGGTGGTGTCGGGTGAGGAAATCGATTTCGTCCGGAGATTCGTCGCGAGAGTGGCGCCCAATGAGGTCGAGTTCGTCGGGCGACTCCTCAGCCGATGCGGGCTCGCGGTACGTGCTGAAGTCTGGGTGGTGCACGTCCTGTAGATCGAGGGCGAACCTGGGGCTGTGAGCCGAGGAGGTCGAGGGGATCGGCGGAGTCTTCAGAGTCGGTCCGGTAAGGCCGAGGGTGACGATGACGCAGCCGACGATGGTGAAAGTGCAGGCGATGGCGCAGACGACGGTGATGAGGGCGACGCAGGCGACGGTGACGAGGACGATTCGGCATCTGTGAAGTTAAGTAAGGTTCCGCCAGTGTACCCTGGGGCCACGTCAACGGCGCTCATGGCAGAATCATCAAGGGGGGATGAGACGTCCATGTGCGCCGACCTTACTAGTGGGGTCCATGTCTTGACAACGGTTTGAGATTCGGTGGTGGGAGCGCTGGCGAAGTGCGTGTCGCCGTCTTGCTCAGTGGGGTCGCCATGTAATCCGGGGAATTCCAGTGTCGAGGAACGTGGCATTTCTGCCAAGTATAATCTTCTGTGTTGTAGTGTCGTAGAAGCGAAAGCTTTTGAAGCCAGGTCGTAGCCGGTGAAAAAAAACGCGAACCGCCTTCGGGTCGAGTTTGGAGCGAAGTTCGGGCGCGACCGTAAGCCAAGCTGTACAGCCGAACGGGTGAAGCGCCGAGGCAGTGGTGTGGTCACCCTGCCAGACGGAGTTTGGTGTTGCCTTGTCCAGGGCCGCGTGTTGACACAGGTTCTTGCAGTAAACGAAATAAGCTGCAGCCTCCTCCCAGAATGTCTTGGGTAGGTGGGCGTCGACAAGAGGGCAAGGACGCCTTCGACAATGGAACGATTGACCCGCTCTGCACGACCGTTCTGTTGAGGCGTGCGTGGGATAGAGTATTGTCGACGGGTGCCTCGTGTCTTGCAGAACTCTGTGAACGCTCTCGAACAGTATTCGCCACCGTTGTCGGTTCGGAGGACCTTCAGCGTCGCACCCGTCTCGAGTTCAACCTCGGCTAGCCAAGTTTTGAATATGCCGAAGACTTCGCTTTTGTGTCCGATTGCGTAGGCCCAGAGTTTGCGCGAGTAATCGTCAAGGAATGTGACCAGGTAACGTTTGCAGTCAAGGACCGCTCGGGGAAGGAAAGCACATCGCTGTGTACAAGGCCGAGTCTCTCTGAGGAGTGCGAATCCGAATCGGGAAAGGAGACGATGGCCCTTTGCGCTGAGGCAAGCATTGCAGACAAACTTCTCTACCTCTTCGTCACTATATCCGGCCCTGAGACCCTCCAGCAAACCAGCGGCAACCATCTTCTGTATGGAGGACGGTGCGAGATGGCCGAGGCAGCGATGGAGAGTCAGCAGGGCACGGACGACTGTGAGCGAGAAAGGAGAGCAAGGTGCTGACATTTGGAATGATCAGCGTCCAGCAAGTAGAGCCCTTCGTCGAGTCGTGCGCCTTCAGCGATGTCGTTGCCGTCCTTGTCAATGTGGATGCCGTGTTTTGTGAAGGCGACACGGACATCGTCGGTGTCGCAAAGTCGAGAGACCGAGAGAAGATTGACAAACAGGCCCGGAGTGTGCAGCACGCCGGTAAGCGTGATCGGATGACCCGAGGCGGCAATGAAGGCGATGTTTCCCGTTCCGATGGCGTTGATGCCCCCTGCAATACCACCAATCTTCGTAGGAGCGATATGGCGATAGGTCGTGAACAGCGACTTGTCCGAGACCATGTGCGAAGTGGCGCCCGAGTCGACGACAAAAGAGTGGTTGCGAAGCTGGCGACGACGAGCGAGAAGACCGGTGGCGAGACATCCGACATGGTGTTGCGAGTCGACGGTCGAGTCAGCGGTGGTCGGGCTTTTTGCCGTCCTCGAGCGCCTTCTTGCAGTCGAGAGACCAGTGATCCTTCTTCTTGCAGGAGCGACAGGGTCCTGGCGGCGGGTGTTGCGCCCTCGTAGGGCACTCCGCGACTCGGTGCGAAGGGCTGCGACAGGCGAGACACTTGAGACGAGTAGAACGTGACGACGACGAGGCAAGAAGGGCCGATTGAGTGCTGGGGATGTTCGTTGACCGAAGTTGGACTCGCATACGGTCGGCAAGCGAATCAATGTCGGGAGAGTTCGTTGCGTGCGCTGTTCATCGGTGAACGACGCCTTGAAGCTCTCGAGGGACGGGTGGGCGATTGCAAGGAGGAGTGTGGCGGAGAACATCATTGATAGTTGTCTTTGTGTCGATGATCTCTTGCGCAACGGCTTTGAAGTCCATGATCCACCCGTCGAATTCGGCAACCGTGCCGGCATGGGACGGAAACCCCAGAGTCGTGAGAAGAGCTCGAGCGTGCGGGTGGCGTCGTCAGGGGCGTACCGCGATTTTCAGCGTCGAGTAGATTGTCGGCGCTGTCAGGTCGGCGGTAGGGATTTTGTCGAGGACTGCCGAGACTTCGGCCGAGTCAATCGAATTCGCAAGGACCTCACGAGCGACGGCGTCGCGAGCGGAGCGTTGCGAAGGTGTCCAGTCGTCGGGTGCGATACCGTCGAGGACGTACGAGCGGATGTCGTCCGCTAGGCACAGGCGAAGTTGGCGTGTCCAGTTCGCGAAGGTCTTCGCACCATCCAAGCGTGCGTGCTTTGGAAAGGCAGTGCGAGTGGTGCCGACGTCGTGGCGGGTTGTGGCAGTGCCGGAAGCGGCAGCGGTGAGACCCGACAGCAGCGATGTAAGTGCGGCGAGCTGTTCGGCGGGAATCGGGAGGGTTGGCACCCGTCGCGAGGGGTGGTGTCGTGGTCATGCCAGCTGGTGGCTCGTGGGTTATAACCTATGAGACGTTCACCACTACTGTCAGGAGAGGTTGAGAGTCGAACAGAAGTGATCTATTTCAGCGTACCTATGAGACGTTCACCACTACTGTCAGGAGAGGTTGAGAGTCGAACAGAAGTGATGAGAAGGAAGCTAAGAAACAGAAAGGGGGGGCCACGCTGGGATAGTCCCAGGCGCGTGACAATGTACATCCCTAAGTCAGCCGCGGGTGAAATCGCCGGCGCGCCTAAGTCCCCACCGGCAAGGGGGCGGGCTAGCGGGCGCCGCGCATGAATCCGCCGGCGCTGGCGCGCTGAGGCAGTCGCGCGCGTCTAAGTCCCCACCGCCGGGGGCGGGCTAGCAAGTGCGCGCAACGACCGAGGCGCCCCTGTCGAGCTGAGAGTGGACTCTTCACACTGCCAATACCACCAATCTTCGTAGGAGCGATATGGCGATAGGTCGTGAACAGCGACTTGTCCGAGACCATGTGCGAAGTGGCGCCCGAGTCGACGACAAAAGAGTGGTTGCGAAGCTGGCGACGACGAGCGAGAAGACCGGTGGCGAGACATCCGACATGGTGTTGCGAGTCGACGGTCGAGTCAGCGGTGTCGGGCTTTTTGCGTCCTCGAGCGCCTTCTTGCAGTCGAGAGACCAGTGATCCTCTTCTTGCAGGAGCGACAGGGTCCTGGCGGCGGGTGTTGCGCCCTCGTAGGGCACTCCGCGACTCGGTGCGAAGGGCTGCGACAGGCGAGACACTTGAGACGAGTAGAACGTGACGACGACGAGGCAAGAAGGGCCGATTGAGTGCTGGGGATGTTCGTTGACCGAAGTTGGACTCGCATACGGTCGGCAAGCGAATCAATGTCGGGGAGAGTTCGTTGCGTGCGCTGTTCATCGGTGAACGACGCCTTGAAGCTCTCGAGGGACGGGTGGGCGATTGCAAGGAGGAGTGTGGCGAGAACATCATTGATAGTTGTCTTTGTGTCGATGATCTCTTGCGCAACGGCTTTGAAGTCCATGATCCACCCGTCGAATTCGGCAACCGTGCCGGGCATGGGACGGAAACCCCAGAGTCGTGAGAAGAGCTCGAGCGTGCGGGTGGCGTCGTCAGGGGCGTACCGCGATTTCAGCGTCGAGTAGATTGTCGGCGCTGTCAGGTCGGCGGTAGGGATTTTGTCGAGGACTGCCGAGACTTCGGCCGAGTCAATCGAATTCGCAAGGACCTCACGAGCGACGGCGTCGCGAGCGGAGCGTTGCGAAGGTGTCCAGTCGTCGGGTGCGATACCGTCGAGGACGTACGAGCGGATGTCGTCCGCTAGGCACAGGCGAAGTTGGCGTGTCCAGTTCGCGAAGGTCTTCGCACCATCCAAGCGTGCGTGCTTTGGAAAGGCAGTGCGAGTGGTGCCGGACGTCGTGGCGGGTGTGGCAGTGCCGGAAGCGGCAGCGGTGAGACCCGACAGCAGCGATGTAAGTGCGGCGAGCTGTTCGGCGGGAATCGGAGGGTTGGCACCCGTCGCGAGGGGTGGTGTCGTGGTCATGCCAGCTGGTGGCTCGTGGGCTTATAACCTATGAGACGTTCACCACTACTGTCAGGAGAGGTTGAGAGTCGAACAGAAGTGATCTATTTCAGCGTACCTATGAGACGTTCACCACTACTGTCAGGAGAGGTTGAGAGTCGAACAGAAGTGATGAGAAGGAAGCTAAGAAACAGAAAGGGGGGGCCACGCTGGGATAGTCCCAGGCGCGTGACAATGTACATCCCTAAGTCAGCCGCGGGTGAAATCGCCGGCGCGCCTAAGTCCCACCGCAAGGGGGCGGCTAGCGGGCGCGCGCATGAATCCGCCGGCGCTGGCGCGCTGAGGCAGTCGCGCGCGTCTAAGTCCCCACCGCCGGGGGCGGGCTAGCAAGTGCGCGCAACGACCGAGGCGCCCCTGTCGAGCTGAGAGTGGACTCTTCACACCCCCCCAGGAGACGAATGAGAGAGAGAAAATGAAAAAGAACTGGCGTACTAACGACAAGAGGCCCACCCCGCACCCACTTCCCAACTCGGTCGAGACAAAGACAGGAGAGCGACTGCGCAGCTACCCTGACCCGCGAAATCCCAAGTCTATGCTCGGTCACAACAAGACGCGGTGGAGGCCCCTCAAAACCTCCACCTCAGCAGTCCCTGGCCCCTCAAAGCCGACTTTCTGCCTGTGTCTGCTGATCCCTCCCTTAAACTCAGAACCCCGAAGCCAGAGAGCGCGAGCCACAGTCGAGTCAATCCCAAAACGCAAGCCGGTCCATGAGCAACGGAGGCAGACCTGTAATAAAAGAAAGATGAAGAAAAGATATTTAGTATACAGTTTTTTGTGAAGAGTCCACTCTCAGCTCGACAGGGGCGCCTCGGTCGTTGCGCGCACTTGCTAGCCCGCCCCCGGCGGTGGGGACTTAGACGCGCGCGACTGCCTCAGCGCGCCAGCGCCGGCGGATTCATGCGCGCGCCCGCTAGCCCGCCCCCTTGCGGTGGGGACTTAGGCGCGCCGGCGATTTCACCCGCGGCTGACTTAGGGATGTACATTGTCACGCGCCTGGACTATCCCAGCGTGGCCCCCCCTTTCTGTTTCTTAGCTTCCTTCTCATCACTTCTGTTCGACTCTCAACCTCTCCTGACAGTAGTGGTGAACGTCTCATAGGTACGCTGAAATAGATCACTTCTGTTCGACTCTCAACCTCTCCTGACAGTAGTGGTGAACGTCTCATAGGTTATAAGCCCACGAGCCACCAGCTGGCATGACCACGACACCACCCTCGCGACGGGTTCCGATTCCCGCCGAACAGCTCGCCGCACTTACATCGCTGCTGTCGGGTCTCACCGCTGCCGCTTCCGGCACTGCCACACCCGCCACGACGTCCGGCACCACTCGCACTGCCTTTCCAAAGCACGCACGCTTGGATGGTGCGAAGACCTTCGCGAACTGGACACGCCAACTTCGCCTGTGCCTAGCGGACGACCTCGTACTCCTCCGACGGTATCGCACCCGACGACTGGACACCTTCGCAACGCTCCGCTCGCGACGCCGTCGCTCGTGAGGTCCTTGCGAATTCGATTGACTCGGCCGAAGTCTCGGCAGTCCTCGACAAAATCCCTACCGCCGACCTGACAGCGCCGACAATCTACTCGACGCTGAAATCGCGGTACGCCCGACGCCACCCGCACGCTCGAGCTCTTCTCACGACTCTGGGGTTTCCGTCCCATGCCCGGCACGGTTGCCGAATTCGACGGGTGGATCATGGACTTCAAAGCCGTTGCGCAAGAGATCATCGACACAAAGACAACTATCAATGATGTTCTCGCCACACTCCTCCTTGCAATCGCCCACCCGTCCCTCGAGAGCTTCAAGGCGTCGTTCACCGATGAACAGCGCACGCAACGAACTCTCCCGACATTGATTCGCTTGCCGACCGTATGCGAGTCCAACTTCGGTCAACGAACATCCCCAGCACTCAATCGGCCCTTCTTGCCTCGTCGTCGTCACGTTCTACTCGTCTCAAGTGTCTCGCCTGTCGCAGCCCTTCGCACCGAGTCGCGGAGTGCCCTACGAGGGCGCAACACCCGCCGCCAGGACCCTGTCGCTCCTGCAAGAAGAAGGATCACTGGTCTCTCGACTGCAAGAAGGCGCTCGAGGACGGCAAAAAGCCCGACACCGCTGACTCGACCGTCGACTCGCAAACACCATGTCGGATGTCTCGCCACCGGTCT